TCCTGTCACAGATATACTTGGCACACATAAAACCACCATAAGCCCTGCTGACATGCTTCTTTGTCTTAGACAATCTCTTAAGGACTTTAGGGCTCACAGCACAAACCCCTCAAACTCCGCCTGGGCACACACCACATGCAGATTTAGGTGCTTTCCCAACCTTCCTGGTATAAGGTAAACAATCTTGTTGCCAGGGGTTGGAGACAGCCTAGTTTTATTAGAGACTGTATTACAGGAAAGCCTATGATGGTATGTCAAATGCTGGACTGTTCTGAATGCCTCTAAGCACTGTTCCTGGAAGAGGGAAAAAACAGTCTTCAAGTTCAAATAAAATGCAACTTAGGGGAAGTTGGTAATAAAATGTGAAAGTATTGATTCACCTTGTACATTAAGTTCATTTAGAAGGACAGATTTTGATGAGTGACTTTTCATATCGACTTATGTATTGCAGACCCCTTGTATCACTTGCTTTCATGTCATGTATTGCATGCCCCAAGTATCATTTGTTTGAATATAGCCCAGCATCACAACACTGGAGGCTGAATATGGGCCCTGTGGCAGGAAGTCTACAAATTTCGATGTGGTGTCACCTCATCACTAGCGAAGTGCCTATGAAATAATTTATTTTTAAAGATTTATTTATTTTTATTAGTTTGTATGCATTTGTGTAGGTTTCTGTGTATGTATATCACATGTGAAAGTACTGAAGGCCAGAAAAGTGTGTCAGATCCCTCAGAACTGGAGCTACAGGCGACTGTGGGCTGATGTGGGTGCTGGGGACTGAACCTGGATTCTCTCCAAGAGTGGTGAGCTGGCTTAACTACTGAGTCATATCTCCAGCCTCTGTGAAATGTTCATTACTATTGTTTTAGTTCATGCTACTGATGATACACAGGGCTTGCCTTGGAGGTCACAGATTTTTTTTATTGTCAATTGCATCTGCAGGAAGGTGTGTTTTTAATGTATGTAATAAGTTTCGTTTTATCGAAAATAAATAATTCTTATGGTAGTTGAAGCCCCTGCACAATAGGCTTCAATCTATCCATTTTTAGTAACTTTTTGGTTAAGAAAGATTAGATAATATTTGAGAAAAGAGGACCCGTGAGATGGCTCAGAGTAAAAAATCACTTCCCACAAAAACCTGACAACCTGAGTTCAGTTCCTAAAACCCACACTAGAAGGAGGGAATGAACTCCTCAAAGTTGTTTTCTGACCTCCATGTATGCTATGGTATGTGCATATCAGCCCTCACCCTACCCCCACATACAATGAAACAAAGTAATGGAGAAAAGGTTTCTCTTATTTCAAAGTGCATAAAAAGTTTCATTGAAGAATTAAAAGGTTACATTTATGATTATAACACAGGAAAGAGGAATGAGAATACTGTGTCAGTCTTGCAACACATCTCTTGTGTATAATGAGAGTGATGTGATGTCTAGCTCTGCTTCCTCCTCATGATTATTGGCTGCATTGGTCCATGAGGGTGGTGGGAGCAGAAGGGGGGATCACAGTTAGAATGACTGTGGGTACCACTGAAACAGCCCTCTGGGACACAGACATCTGTGAATCAGTGCAGCTTTATTCCAGAGTATAAGGAATATATAGGATTGGAGAGCCTGGGGACAAACCCTAATTTGCATTATGTGGCATGGTCCTATCATAAGGCTCCTAGCACAAGTCTTAGTTATCATATGTGCAGCAAGGTAGCCTTCTAACAGGAATCTCTCCCGAGGGTCAAGCTAAAGATAAATCAGGCATCTGGCTTAGAGGCAGCATTCAGATAAGGTCAGTCCTCCAGGCCCAGGGTCATTCTCCAGATAAGGGCAGGTAGAGAGCAGAAGTTTCGCTGGGGAGGGAGGGAGTTTCCATGTTGCTGAGCTTTTGGGAAAAGCTGCCAGGCCATGAGACTGAAGTCTCAAGGAGCCAGCAATGCCTTCCAACAGTGACAAGACCATGTTTTAGTCAATTTGTCCAACATTATGTCATTATCGTGTACATGTCTCAGGTAAACACAGTTTTCAGATACACTATTTTTCATAACTTGAAAGGCTTCTGATAAGCTTCTGAAAGGTATACAGCTTGATATGTTTATCTATTTTTGAAATATTGATGTGTTCAAAGGAAAACTACCCACTGAAAATCCATTCTATGTTAGGTACTTCTTAATTAATGGAGTAGCTAAGCAAGCAGATACAGTCTTGTCTGTTCAAAGGATGAAGGTAGAAACAGAAAAGAGTGATGTGCAGTAGAAGGTGGATCTGGAGGTTTAGATAGCTGCCAGGCCCCACAGAGCTTTTCTCAGGACTATGGGAAATCTGAGCTACAGGTATTTTATCTTTCTGCCATTTGTTCCTTCCAGTTGGAAATAAGACTTCATGTACAATAAAGTGAAGTTTAAAGAATCTTCTCTGTTTAATAGATTTTTATATCTACTCAAGGACAGACTTCCACTTGACAAACCAACATGAGTAGTAGCCTATGTGCTCCACACTTGCCTGGTTGGGGTCTCAACTGTTTGTATTAAGTATTTAAGAGAAGGTTACTTACTATAAAAGATTTTCTGAAAAAATTTCCACATGTAAATCTTTCAAATACTTGCTAAGGAGATCTAGAATTGAGTTACTCCTTCAGCTGAGTGCTGAAACAAGAAATGCTAGAGAAAAGGCCAAGAAATATATCGATACATACGTATGTCAATAATGATAATATTTTGGCCCCAACTATAAGATACTCATTTAGCAAAACTGATCAGTTCCACTCTAGGGCCCATGATCTCCTTAGCCATGTGCTTCTGACCAGATTTACTGAACTAGCTCTGAGTTACCCCTATGTAGCAGACCTCAAATCCAATCAGGAAGTAGCTGGTTCCTTTCCTAACATGCACATTGCTATTGAACCGGTGAGCACATCTTGCCTGGCTGGCCAGTACTGTAGCATCTTGGGTCTACAACTGGGGAAGAACATTGATTACTTTTCCCCCCCAGTGGCATGCACTGTACCTTTTGGTAGTCAGCAGGGAGGAAGTTTCCAGGTCAGTTCTCATTTGATTTCTTTATGTCCTGCAGTCAAAGTGTGTGGTGTTTTCAGCATTAGGGTCACATCGTCTAGTTATGGTAGGCAACCAGTAGCAGTGGCAGCAGCCTGTGTACCATGAAAATGTCATATATATGCAAAATGGAGTTTCAGTCAGCTGTGAAGGAAAATGTAATCATGAGATCTGCAGGGAAATGGATGGGATTGAACAATACTGAGTGCAATAACGTAAGCCCAGAAAGATAAATACTGCATGTTCTCTGTCATATGTTCATGTTAGTATTGAAATTTTAGACTCATGCGTTTGATATGGAGTGTCCATAGAGGGCAGGAAGCTAGAAAGGGCTCATGACAGGGGGAGGAGCAAAGGACTTACGGGGAAGTAGGTATTAGAACAAGTGTGAATGTAGAAAGGGGAATTTTGTAAGCTAAAATGCTCACAAAGGTTTTAAGCATTGGTGTGGGAGTAATGGAGGATAGGATAAGAAGGGTTTAACAAAAAATGAAGGACACATGAAAAAGACATAAAACCCCACGACTTTGTAAACATTTTAGATTTATTTCTGTTGCTGCGATAAAATATTTGGACAACAACAACAAAAAATGAGACAACCTAGTGGGAAATGGGTTTGCTTTTAGTGCACAAATCCAGGTTACAGTCCATCACTATCGAGAAGTCAAATTTGGAACCTGAAGTAGTTCCTACTCTTAGACATGCTGCCATCAAGAGCAGAGAAAGAAAGAAGGCTTGCATGTGTCTATTCAGCTCACTGGGGTTCCGACCCAGCATCACAAGACAAGGCAATCAGAAATAGATTAATTAAGTGAGACTTTTTTTTTTTTATCAAACCAAAACAGGAGCCAACTATGCTATCTCATGAAAGTCTGTTATAAACGGCAATACCAGAAACAGAACAGAAAGATTGAATGTGTGAGTTGAAATGAGACTGACTGAACAGCAGTCTCTGCAGTGGGAGCATGTCAGCAGTGCTCTGCTCTTCCCTCTGGAGAATTCAGAGCTTCCTGTATGCTGTACTGATCACAAGCCAGCCTTTAGGGTAAAGAAGGCTTGGTTTCTTATTCTGGTTTTGCTTCATTAGCGGGTGACATTATATTGAGTTCCCTTTCCTTGGACTATGAAATGTCCATAACATTACTACTTACTTCTAGAGTTCTAACAAAAAGAGATCATCTCTGAGAAATCCTTTGTGCATCAAAAAGGATGAGAACAGTCACCTTTCAACCCACCCCCTCCTCCACCTTGTTCATCACTGACACCCAGGTGCACCAACATGAATATGGTCACCAGGGTCCTGTGTTTCTGATTGGCTCATTGTTGCTACTCTCACGATTAGTGACCCCCTGAGCTTTGCATCAAGTCTTTCCTTTAGCTCATTGTCTACCTCCCTCATCTTGCTAGTCTGTAACTCTTTGTATCTTAGGTGATGAGTTTCTGTTGTCAGCAATCAGATTTTCCCCAAGGTGCCCATGACAGACACAGTGGATAAGAATTTGCTCCAGTTGGTTTTTTCGTGGGTGCAGATCTCAGTGCCTGGCTTGCCACTGTCTGGTCTGTGTTTCTGGTAAGCTGCATAGATCATTTGTTGAGCCACATGGTACTAAACATGGCTGTGTTTAAGCAAAAAAAGTTCAGATTTAATAATGTCCCAGAATTTAAAAGCAGACTGTCCAGATCTTAAATAATGGTCTTGTGTTTCCCAACCTAGCATTCTTTTTAGTGGACTAAGTATGTGTGATAATCTTGACATTTTTTGACTCATAGTAAGATTTTGATACTAATTTGTCGGTGATTTTTCTGTTCTCTTAAATCCTGAATTTTGGCATACTATTATCGTAGTATAAACCAAATTTTGTTCTTTGTCTTGAAAAGCTGTATTTTGCTTAACTGGGTCCTGGTCAGGGTTGAATTCTGTTGACTTGCTTCCTTTGTTTTTACCTTTTCCCAGGCTGCTAAATTGGCTATCGCAGCGTAAGCCTCGGGGTCCCAATGGGGGACTCAGGATCAAGGAGATGTACCCTGGTCTCCCGGTTGCCAATATTCAGGAAAAGTATTAGCAGAAGACATGACTCTCTCCCTTCTTCGCCCTCTTCCGGTAACACAGCTGGGGTCCACAGCTCCTCCCCTTCCAGCACTAACTCCAGCTCAGGGAGCGTGGGGAAACGCAGGAGCATATTCCGGGCTGCCTCCATCAGCTTCCACTACAAGAAGGGGAGTGAACCCAAGCCAGAACCCGTCGACCAGAACCTTAGTATTTCCAATGGTGCTCAACCCAGTCACAGCAACATGCAGAAACTAAGTTTGGAGGAGCAAGTCAAAACCAGGGGAAGACATTCTGTGGGCTTTAGTACTTCACGAAGTAAGAAGATCACAAGATCTTTGACCGAAGATTTTGAAAGGGAAAAGGAACCCCCAGCTAATAAGAATGTCTTTATAAATTGTCTAAGTTCTGGCAGAAGTGAAGGGGATGATTCTGGATTCACAGAAGAACAAACTCGCCGTTCTCTAAAACAATCAACCAAGAAGCTGCTCCCCAAATCCTTTTCATCTCACTCTAAATTTTCCAAGTCGATTCCACAGAGCCAATCCAAGTCACTGGTACAGCAGCCTGAGTTCTCGCTGGCTGTCGCACAGTACCAGGAGCGGGAACCCACCTTAGGAAGACCTTCCCCATCTTGCTCTGCCGATGTAACAGAGCACGCAGGAAGTTCCTTACAGTCGCCTCTGCTTTCCACTGACCTGACCACAGCACAGACCCCTTCAGAATTCTTGGCCTTGACTGAAGACTCTCTGTCGGAGGCAGATGCCTTTCCTAAAAGTGGAAGCATGGCTTCGCACTGCGACAACTTTGGTCACAATGATGCTACCTCTCAGCCCAACCCCAGTCTCACTGCTGGCACAAAGACGATGGAATTTGTGGGGACTGTACCCTGTATGATGATGTCTCCTGGGAGGTACAGGTTGGATGGTCGGTGTGGCACCGAACTGCATTCTTTACCAGAGACTGCTGCTGCTGACCAGAGGGAAGTATTACTGCAAAGTGCTGGACCCCCTGTTTGGAATGTGAGTGACCCAGAGACCCACCCACCAGCTGCTCATCAAAGAGAAGAGGAACCCTCCGAACCAATGCGGAGGACCAGCTCACCCAGGACACTGGGCTCCTATGACCAGAACAAGGCTCTGGCTGAACGCATTAAAGGGGTCCACCCTGTTTCAGATTCAAGGGTAATCCCTTCATCCGGGGATCCTCGTGTTCGTAACAAAGCATCTTACGGATATGAAGGAAGTGCTGTCAAAGGTATGCAGATTTTCCTCGTGCAAAAAATGATGGAAATTAATTTTCATTTTTATTTGATCAATTATTTTTACTCCATATCTTGAGTGGAGGCACATTTCCTTTGCATTTATAATTTCTGTTAAATGCTTGCTTTTGACTGGTTTTAGATTTCTCTGTTACGATGGAGACACAAGTCTGTGACACTCATTTTCCTTCGCTGTATTGTTTATGTTATTCTGACCTGAGAGGAAGGTAGAAGGAAGGCAACTCTACTCGGACTGTGACTACAATAGCTTTGTTACTTACTGGTTAGTGAAATGCAGGCATTTCGGTCCAAGTTTTCATAAAGGAAACGTGTGCTATTTGAATTCTGTTTCCTATGTTAACAGAGATCTATTCACTAGAATCCACATTTTGATAGAAATAAATTGTATCTGTCAGTACGAAGGGATTGCAGGGTATGAAAATACAGTCCTTGGAGTTGGAAAGCCTGCTGAGTTCAAAACCTGCCTCAACATTAACTAGCTATGTCACTTTAAATACCTTCACCTCAACTGTCATATGAGTGTGTATAGGAGTGTTTGTGTGTGTGTGTATGTGTGTGTGTGTGTGTGTGTGTGTGTGTGTGTGTGTGTGTGTGTGTGAATTATTTCACTTTGGTTCCAGAAAATATTCAAAGGAACTGTTGAATATGCTCCCACTCACTTGCCTATTTTTCATGCTATATTTTATTATTTTCTCTGTCATTAACACTGCTGCCAGCAGTAACTGTCTCAATGCTGAAAATGATGCTTATGTATCCAGAGATAATGTGTGCTCTTTATAAGTATTAATTAAAAATGGTCTCACTTGTTTTTATAATTGTTAACTCTTTCTTAAGCAAGAGGACTGGGGGTAGGGGGCAAGGAAGATGTGCACCCAGAGTTGTAGAAGTAGATGACGGATGGGCTCAAGCTCTGTTTGGCTCCTTGTGCTTCAGATTTTCCAGACTTGGAAACAAGCCACTGTGTAGCACAGCCAGGTGGAGGTTAGCTTGAGGTAAAGTTCAGACTCTTATGTTATATTATATGAATGTCATAAAATATCAAGTAAAATTAAAAATAAATCAAATGACACATAATCATATCAAAAATCATTAAGACAACTGTTGAACTGGTTCCTTCAGAACAAAAAACAGTTTGTAGTCTAAACACAGGAATTGGTTTTGAGCATATCTGACATAAGACTAAATATTTTTATTTGATACTTTTTGAGACAGCGTCACTTGGTAGCCAAGGCTGACCTTAACTCCCATGAAACCCATACTGGTCTTGAACTAGCAGTAATCCTCTTGCCTCAGATGCCTGAGTGATGGAATAGCACATGTGATACACAGATAAATTTGCTTATGTGGCTGCTGAGAGTCTTCAAAAGGGATTAAACAAACTGCTACTATAAGCATAGACATCTTTCTGAGGTAGAGAACTTTCAAATCATTCTACAGTTTTTCATTATCTTAAAATGGTACGTTGATTAAAAACTCCCTGTAAGTATTGATATGCATTTTTCTTTATTTGTCTTGGAAAAGTTCTTGCCAGCAGCCTCAGTCCGTACCATGAAGGAAGATATATGGAGCAGCGGCTGCGGTCTTCATCTGAAGGGACAGCAGGGAGCGGCAGAATGGTCTTAAAGCCGAAGGAAGGGCATGCAGAGGCCAGTAGCTTAAGAAAGCACAGAGCTGGGTCCTCATCCTCCAAAATGAACAGTCTGGTGAGTCTGTCTGTCCGCCTGCAGATAATGAGTAATGCTCTGTGCTCAAGGCTGCTCATGCCTCTTGCAGAATGGACACAGAGTGAATGGAAAATTCGGTTCCATAATCAATGTTGCCAATCAGACGGCTAAACTTTCAGTTGAGAGTCTCATGGGACAGGACAGGTAACAGTGTGCCAGGCAGCAACCTTCCCTTGTCTTGGGGAAAATTGTTTCATTTCTGTTTTAAAGCAAGACCCATGCTGACCATGGAGACACCTTAGAAGCCATGTTTTGCATGCATTTCTACTCCTTGACCACGCTACTTGGTACCTTCTGCTGTTGTTGCCTTATGGCCCTCAGTGGCTTCTTTCACTCTGGGTCTTCTCTCCCAGGGTGAACAAGGTGCAGGAGCTGTGGGAAACGCTGCAAACTTCCCACTCGAAGCTATAACATATTCTTAGTGTAAGTGCTGAGCTTGCTTATAGGCTGAGGGCTTGTGTGGGGGTGTGGATACCTCGTTTTGGGTAAGCTTAGATCCTAAGGTTACATGGGGTTGTAGGGAAATCTTGGTGCTTGGTGATAGAAGTTGTAATCACTTCTCAGTGAGGAGCCTTTCCTTAATCCTGGGGAGATAAGAAACCACAGGACTCCTGGTACCATTGGACCAAAACTGACCATGTGTGTTTGCGTTTGACCATATACACTCAGGAAGCTGAGTGCCTGCACATGGGAAGGTACCACTTCTCATCTTTTTCTCTCTCGTGTATTAAAACTACAGCACCCTTTTTGCAGTTGAACTTTAAACAAGAGAACATGCTTAAGATGCTTTTCAACAAATGCGTTGTTGGAGATTGAAGCTAAAATTGTTACAAAATATTTTCCTCTCTGAAAACTGTATTGTTTCTTTATAGAGAAACATTGTTTCTGTATTGTTATGGAAACAATTTTTCAATCCAGTGGATTTAAGAGTTGGCTCTTGAAACATTTTATATCTGCAATTTTTTTTCTGCCCATACTTACTCTAAATAAATTTCCCCGATAACGTCAGCAAACCACTGTCTCCCATCCATGTGTTAGATCTAGAACTTTAAAATATAAGATCTGTGGTCTTTGTTGAAGTCCAAGACCCATGTTGCCACTAAAGGTCACAAGGAACCCGGGGGGGATTGGGGCCACAACCTGTGGCCTTGTTTGTGTCCCAGAGCCATGCCTCCACCACAGTCATTCTGATATGAGTGGCCAGTACTTCCACCTGGAATCGGGATGTGGTCTGGACCCAAGCTGCTTCTAAGGGCCATGTCTGGATCCATGTTCCAGCTGCAGCTGGAGTCTTTGTTCATGTCTGTGGCCTGTGTCACCTCAGAGTGCCATAGGAACCATATGTAATGAAATCCAAGGGCCATGCTGAGCCCGGCCCTGCCCTTCTATGGCCCTGGGAAAGCTGGCCCTGCCTTGCTGGACACTGAAGCAAGAGAGCTAGCCTCTGCACTTGGGAGAGATAGCCCCACCCCTCACCACAGGTGAGGGAGAACAACCCTGATTGCCTGGACAAAGAAGAGCTGGCTCCGCCCCCTCGCCTGAGGCTGGCTAGCCCCAGAGGCCTGGTCTGACCAGTTTAGCCACCTCCTACCTCCCAGGCCCACAGCTGGGTCTTGAGGTTGGCTGCCCACCATAATATCTACCTTCTCTAGGACCAGGACCTGCTGTAGCTTGTGAAGGGGCTGGTCCTGTGGAATGATACCCGCAGGGTCTCTATAACTCGGGGGCAGGGGAGCTGTTGGATATTCCAGAGGAGTTTCAGTGAGGATCTAGTGACTATGGTTACCAGCAACCAGAGGCCTTGAACCAGATAGTGACCCATTGCAATGAACATTTGCTAGTAAAGCTGTTTGAACAAAAGGGTGTACTAAGTGACACACTGCTCCCAAACACCAGGATGAATGAAGAGGTACTGGAGAGGCAGGAAATATGGAGAAGCAAAGAAGAGGGGTTTTTTTTTTGTTTGTTTGTTTTATTTTGTTCTTGTTTTTGTTTGATTGCTTGCTTGGTTTTGTTTTGGTTTGATTTTTTCTTTCTTTCTTTTTTTTTCTTTTGACGGGGTGCTACAAGGGTGAGGGGAGAATATGGGGAGACTGACAGGTGAGTGGAATTAGGGTGCATAATGTGAATTTCCCAAAGAATCAATAAAGAGATTATGTTAAAAAAAAAAAAAAGGATTTTATTCTTTTGTGATCATAGATCGTCAACACGTGTCTCCGCAGTATTAGAAAACCAACACTAGATGGCAGGAAAACACCATTTTAGTTGTAGTTCTTGTAGATGACAACTCACTATATGTAAAATGGTGGGAAGGTCAGTTTGAGTAAGAGATCTGCAGAGCCTGAGCTATGTGGAACTCTTTAGGCTTAGAGCAGGGATCTGATAAAGCTACAATGACCTGGTTAAATTTTCAGATAACTATTGAAATAAATAACCAGCACTTTTGAAGTTTTAGAGGTGACTTACCAGAAAGTTCTCAATGATTTCACTGTATCCTTCAGTCATTGTTTTATTTGATGATTACATTTAAAATACATCTTTAATATACAACAAAAGGAAGAAGTGCTGCAATATTTTAGGCGATTCTAGCATTAACTAATATGGAGTGTGATGGAGAAATGCCTTTCTAATAATGCTAATCGGTTCAAGACACAGCTCCTGAGTATGTGGCTCCATGGTCACAGGGGTGGGCGCCTTTTGGCATTTAAACTATTATAGAGATGCTCAACTGTCCATGTTGCACCATTAGGTGAGGCCTGTGGTTGATGCTGCAAGCTCAATTGGGAAGGCCACAGAATTAAGACTTATTCTGTCAGAATTATCCACGTGGGATTGTAGTCTTTCTGGAGACTTCCAGGGTCACACCCACACTCCCAGGTCACAACAACACAATATCCAAGAAGCAAAGGCGAGGGTCAGCCTTCTCTGGTTGGTTCTTCCTTCATAAGCTGGTAGCTTGAAATACATGTTCTCAGTTCTGTGCTGGTGGGAAATCAGGACTCACCTGCAGGTTTCTGTTTAAGTCCCTTTAGAAGCTTTCTGTTTTGATTAACTTTGGGAAATGAGCCATTTTCATTTAGAAGCTGCCTCCATTAGTTAGAGTTCTTGTAGATGACAACTCACTATATGTTAAATAGTGGGATGGTCAGTTTGAGTAAGAGATCTGCAGAGCCCGCTCTGTCCTGGCTCATCATACACTTCACCAAAGGATGGGTCAAGCTGCTAGTTCATTACCTCTGCGATTATTCTTACTAAAACGTACAGCCACAGGGTTAAACAGTACATATTAAAAACCCCATTAGGATCTGTATGCATTTCTATTTTCTCTGTCATTAAAGGAATATTAAGGGGCACAGTAAAGACAAAGAAAAGAACCTTGTCTCTGATTCTATTGCATCAGTCCAGTTTATGTTGTTAACAACAGAACACTGTAGACTATGTAAGTTGTAAGGAGAGAGATAAATTTGGGGCATGGTTCTGGTCCAGGGTTGATGTTTTCAGCTGGCCCATGGCCTTCTTGCTGGCAGAATCCCAAGAGTGTCATATGGGAGATGAGACAGCGATTGGATGAAAGAACTTTCCAAATTGCATCTAAGACAGACCCAGTGCCAAGAAAAACCATTGGTCCGTGAATCCACTCATGAGGGGAGAACCCTTATCAGTCTCACAGTCCCACTCAGCCCCACCTTTCATTACCTATAGTGGCTATTTAATTTTAATGTGAGTCCTCTGGGGCCACAAACTGTACTTAAACAACAGTCGGCAGCACGGCAGGACGTCTTCAGAAATGTTCTGACCTTTAAATGGAGACATGAGAAGACTGGGGCTCCTTGTTTTTCACTTCTGGTGCTATGCTTTTATGTTTAAAAACATTTTTTTTCTTTTTCAGATATTTTTTATGGGTATGAGTGTTTTGTCTGAATGCATGTATGTGTGCCACATGTGTGCCTGGTGCCTGTAGAGGCCAAAAGAGGGCATCAGATCCCCTAGAACTGGTGGTTATAAGCTGCTATGTGGATGCTGGGAACCAACCCAGGTCCTCTGCAAGAGCAATCCATGTGCCTAACCTCTGGGCCCCCTCTCTAGTCCTGTGGTTTTTATTTTTAATTGGTCAAATCTCTTACTTCCTTTCCTGAGATTGAAACCGCTATATGTCTTGTGTAGCCGCGTCATTGGCTGGCACAGCTTCACAGCTTGTGAGATTGAGGGTTGATGGATTCTGGATCCATTACAAGTTTCTGGCTGTCTAAATAGATGCACATTTGGTAAAGCAGGGTTGATGCTTCTTAAAATAACGTCAAATTCTTAAGATAGTCACTGCAATCCGAAGGTTTAACATTTTCTTTAAACAATTATAAAGTTATTTTTGTATCACTTTATTATTGCTTTAAATTTAAATACAGCACAATAGCTTTAATGTGAAAGGTAAATTCTGACTTAAACCTATAAATATACTACTGCCGAATAACAAAAGCGAACATAAAAGAGCCTCAAATTGATAAAAAGCAAAATATTTAATTTTTCTGTTTGTACATAATTTTAAAATAGGAGAAATTATTTATGATTAACTCATGAACCACCATACTTGCCATGTCAGGCCTGGAGCTATGACTGACAGATGAATCATGCATGAACAGTTTTAATCTGACAGTGTAATGGCATGTTTGGGTTGCTGTCACTTTACTATTTTTATGTTAATCCAGGGACCCTTTCACTCTGGTGTCAGACTGCTTTGGCCTCTTCTGTTACAGCATCTGTTGTTCTTAGTGTCTTACATCAGTTCTGAAACAACTCAAGTGCCCAGTTTTTAGCCTTAATTTTTTAAAAAAGACTTTTCATTGTATATATTCTCAACTAACTACAAAATTATACTTTCTATATGCAGCTAGTTCAGTTGTTCTTGCTCTAGCTCTCTCTGTCTGTCTGTCTGTCTGTCATGGGTGTCTCTCTGCCTCTGTCTATCTGTCACTTTCTTTCTT